CCACCCCAAGGCTCTCAGTGTGCTGAGCTCATGGCCACGGCCAAGGTTTCCATCTCCTCTGGCCGTGGTGAGGGGACCTTGGATGGTCTGGGGGGATCTGGGCGGGCTCAGAGGGATCTGGGGCTCAGCTGGGCAGCACAGGCAGGGATTTGTGCCTCCCTCAGCAGTGGGACGAGCCCCCAGTGACCCCCCAGCATCCCCAGGGGATGGGGACAAGCTCAGCCCTGCTGGGTCTGCGCTGCTCCCTGCACATCCTGAGCCTCCCCTGCCCGTGGGTCTCTAGTGGGCTGGGGATGGAGATGCCCCTGGACGCCTGGCACAGAGGGGTCCCTTGTCCTGCTCCAAGGGTGCAGAGCGCCACACCGCAAGGCAGAGGAGCTGTGGGACCACCCTGGGTGCTCTGGGAGCTGGTGCACTCATCTCAGGAGACCCAGCTATTTATTGGCCCCTCTTTACGCCTCCATCTCTATCTGCAGGGCCAGGAGTCCCCCCAGAACAGCCTCACACACGCGCATGTTGAATTTTCCTTCCCCAAACCCCCGGTTCCCAGCAAGCAGGGGCCGAGCCAGGCTCACACACGGGGTGCAGGCGCTGGGAGAGCCCCTCTGCAATTTTCCCTTGCCTGGAGCCTGCAGCCGGCAGCCCACTGCAGAGAGCCCATCATTAGAGCCCCTTCCACACACCCCATCCGCTGATGGACCCACGATTTCCTTTAGTCTTTTATTTACACTTTATTGCTCTTGTTTTTGCACTGGCAAAGCGCTGCTGGAGAGCACAGAAATCCTTCAGATCTCGGCTGGCAGCAGAGCTCTGCCTAATCATAGTCATTATCTGGAAGCAGGTAATGGGCATCTTTCCCATGTTAATTTGAAAACAGAATCAGCGAGAGCAGGACACCGGGGACGGAGCCTGTTCCCAGCACCAGCCGCTCCCTCTGGAGGGTTTTGGGGCGGCTCCGTGGGCGTTGGGGTGCGGGTTTGGGATGGGGGAGCACAGAAAGCCGGGCAGCGCCACATGCCAAGCCTCGCGGCTCAATAAATCAGGCAGGAAAGGGGCTGCTGGCCGGAATCCCGCACGAACGGAGCCCGTCCTCGCTGCCACGGCAATAAAATCCCCCGGCCTTGTGTTTTTGGCGGCGAGGAGGATGATGGTGGCTCTCCCTCCTCCCCGCGCCGCCGTCAGAACTTGCCCCCGTGGCCGGGTCCCTCGCTAACAAGGACTCGTCCCTTTCATCCCCGGCGGCAGGAGGGGACGGGCATGGAGGTGAGAGGCGAGGATTTCTCCCGGGGCCGGCAGGGGAAGGCTGGGTGGCGTTGGAGTTTCTTTTGCCGAGATACCATTAACGAGTGAGCAAAGGTTGCGGAGTCTCCATGGAGACAAGACAGCGAGAGAAGGGAGCGGGTGTGCGCTGGGTGAGAGCTGATTAGTAAATGTCAGCGGCACAGCCACTGCCCGCGCCACGCTGGCGGGGCCGCGCCGGGCACCTGCGAGGGCACCTGCGAGGGCACCGGGCACAGCGGGCACCCCCCGGGCACAGCGGGCACCCCGCGCCGGGCACCCCGCGCCGGGCACCTGCGAGGGCACCGGGCACAGCGGGCACCCCCCGGGCACCTGCGAGGGCACCGGGCACAGCGGGCACCTCCGAGCGTCCCGGGCACAGCGGGCACCTCCCGGGCACAGCGGGCACCTCCGAGTGTCCCGGGCACCTCCGAGCGTCCCGGGCACATCGGGCACATCCCGGGCACCTCTGAGAGTCCCGGGCACACCGGGCATCTGCCGAGCATCCCGGGCACACTGGGCACATCCCGGGCACCTCCTGAGGGTCCCGGGCATCTTGGACACCCCAGGCACTTCCTGAGCGTCCCAGGCACACCTGGCACCTCCCGGGCACCTCCCGAGTGTCCCAGACACCCTGGGCACCTCTTCTGCATCCTGGGCACACTGGGCATCTCCTCTGCATCCTGCCTAGCCCAGGCACCTCCCATGTGTCCCAGACATCCTGGACACCTCCTGAGGGTCCTGGGCACCCCGGGCACCTCCTGTGTGTCCCAGACACACCAGGCATCTCTTGAGCATGCTGGACACCCCAGGACACCCCACGCATCTCATCCGTCCTGTGTGCCGCCCGGGTATCCCACGCACCCCTTCCATGCCAGGTGTCCTGTGCAGCACAGGTACCCGTGTGTGCATGCCAGGCACCCCGGGCACGCTGTGCACCCCAGGCACGCTGTGCACCCTGCGAGCCCCGTTCCACCCCCGGTGTGCCGCGAGTCCTTGCGCACCCCAGGTCCGTGGGAGTCGGGGATGCAGGAGAAGAGCTGGGAGCACGTTCCCAAAGCCTCCTCGCAGCTCTGCTGCTCCCAGCCCTGGCTCCTTTCCCGCAGGGAGCAGGGATGCAGCTGTGCCTGCTGGGAGAGGGGCAGTTGGCCAGGGAAGAGACATCCAAGGCTTCAACAAGCTGCCATCTCCTCCCTCCCGCGGAGAACGTCCCCTCTCCCAGCGCCTGCAGCACGGAGAGAGGACGAGGCTGGGCCTCCTGGATCCCACCTGGCTCTCGGCAGAGCCCAAGCCCACGCTGAGGGAAGCAGGGCTGGGACGAGGCGCTGCTTTGTGCCAGGGTCTGCCTGGGCTTATCAAGGGCTTGGACACGGCTGGAGCCCCCCGGGAGGGAGGTGGGCGGCAGGAGCAGCCTGGCTGCCCTTCCCCGTGCCCTGGAGCACCATTTACCTCCAGCAGGACACAGGAAAGCACCTGGCAGGCAAGAGCACCGGGGAAAAACTGTCGGGGGCACGGCGGTGGGGGGGCTGGATCCTGCAGTTTAGCAGCTTTTATTCAGCAGCTCTAAACAGAGCAGGAGAGATAAAGGTTGCAGTGCAGATACAGATTAGGTAGGTCCCTTGAGGCTGTGACACCTTGAGATAGAGGCAGATCTTCAAGGGAACGGCTCGCTGGCAGCTTGGAAAACACGGAGCTGAGCGGCCTCCAGCAGCACCTCAGCCCCTGGCCCAGCCCACAGGGGAGAGCTGGGGCTGCCAGGGCAGGGTGGGGCGCTGGGGCAGTGTCCCAGGTACCCCAGTGCACCCACTGTGCCCCACTGCATCCCAGGCACCCTGGACATGCCAGGTGTCCTGTGCATCCCAGGTTCCACATGCACCCTGTGCATCCCATGTAACCCACATGTCCTGTGCATCCCAGGTACCCCCTGTCCGCCCTGTGCACCCCGTGTGCCCCATCCCACCCTGCCAGGACACACACAGGGCAGCAGGGAGCACCAGGAAGCGCTGACCATGCTGCAGAGGTGGGGACTCATGGAGGAAAGCGATGCAAAAACAGGCAAGAAATGGCTGTTTGGGTAGGTCTGTGTGTCCATCTCTCCCAGCAGGACCCCGGGCAGGCACAGGCGGTGCCACAGGAGGCACGGACACGAGGGACAGGCACGGCTCGCAGCAGTGACCCTGGCTGCTGGCTCTGCCGTGGGTTTGTTTGCTGCCTGGCAGGAGCACCGGTGATTTACTCCCTGTGGTTTGGTTTGAAGCAGGAGCACAGGAGCAGGGAGGAGATGGATGTCTGTGCCATGCCCTTCATCCCGCTTCCTCTTCCCCATCGAGCCCACAGGCTCGGTTTGATCAGGCAGGGAGGCAGGATTTAATGTCCAGGTGCACCAGCAGAAACATGGAATGTCATGTGGGCGAATTTCTCATCAGATCTCTGCTCCTGCAGTTTCTGGAGGGCATCAGCATCACCCCGGCTCTGCAGAGGACAGGATGGGCTGCAGGACGCTGGCCCCAGTTCAATGCCACACCTGGACAGGGCTCACAGCAAAGCATGAGTTTTAAGACCCCTTCCAGCCCAAGCCATGCCAGGACTCTGCTGCCTCTCTGCTGTGCTGCAGACTGGGCAGGAGCAGGGCTGTGACCCCCACGTGCTGCCCTGTCCCTGTGGACACCCAGCAGGGCCCATCCCCTGTCCCCAGCAGCGCTATTCCCTACTCCGGGCTCCTTTAATCCCTGACTTTAATTCACAGCCTCACCAAGTCATCCAGGGAGCCAAAGCCAGCATCACCCAGAGGGCTCCAGCGGCCATCGGCCCTGCCTGGCCAGCCAGGAGGGCGGGGGGCTGTCCCCATGGCCCAGCTGGGGACCCCCGTGAGGGGAACCTGCTTTGGGGGCTGGGGAGACCCTCCCGAGCAGGGCCGGGGATCCTGGGGGTCATGGCAGGACTGGCACCTCAGGCTCCGGTCCCGGTGCCAGCCCAACACTGTCCCTGTCACCTGCACCCCCTGCCCACCCTGCCTCTCCCCAGGGCCCCCATCCCTCCAGCCCTTCTCCTGCGGGCCTGTCCCCTAACCCTGCATGCCTCGGCCCACAACTCCCACCCCGATCCCAAACCCCAGACCCCAAGCCCCAAATCCACGACCCCAGATCCCTGACCCCAAACTCCAAATCCCAGACCCTAAATCCCATATCCCCGCTCCCAGGGCCGGCGCCGCCGCCCCGCCCTGCCCTGGTGTGACACCCCCGCTCCCCCAGGTGGAACTTTCCTCGCAGGGCGGGAGACCATAGAGGCGAAAGGCTACACTAAAGCAGAGCTCTCCGGGGGAGGTGCGGAAGTGACAGAGAGCCCTTTCCTCCAATGCCACTTGGAAGAATATCAAGTTATGGCTTTCGTAAACGAACAAAAATATTTGTAAGATGTCTTAATTGTGACTGGTGGCCCGGTTCTTCCCTCTGTCCCTGTAATCTGTCCCCAGACCGCCCAGGGTTCCCCCCGTCTATGTCCCCTCATGGTACACTTCTCTTTATTTACTCTCTTTGCGCGGCCGGCTTGGGTGCGGTTCTTCCGCTGCGCCAGCTCCGTACGAAAGTGGCGTAGGACAGCTTTGATGGACAGCGAACCGCAGCCAATGGCGCGGCAGCATCAGCGGGCGGACAGCCAATGGCGCGGCGGCGCGGCGGCCGGGGGAGGCGGGGCGAGGGCCCGGCGGGGCAGGGAGGGGGAGCCGTGGAATGGCGGACGGGCGGGCCGGCCCGCCTTGGTGGTAGTGAGATCGGGGGCGCGGAGGGGACAGCTGCGGACAGGGTGAGTGCGACAGGGGCGAGTGGGCCTCCCCAGCCCCCCCGGGCCGTCTCTTCCCGGGAGAGAGAGGCAGAGGCGCTGGAGTGGGCCGCAAGGCCCTTGCCAAATAGTGGATAATGAGGTTAAAGCGGGAGGTGTTTCCTGCCACATAGTGAGCCGGTGCTGCCCGGTCCCGGGCGGGGTCTGGGGGGCTGCGTCCCGGTCCGGGGCTCCGTCCCCGGCCTGACACTGCCCCAGCCCCTCCCGGGGGCCGCGGTTCGGTGCGGGGTGTGCAGCTGGGCCGGGCCGGCCCGGGGGGATCGGGGCGTTGGGGCGGGCTGCCCGGGGTACTCCAGCCCCGCGCTGGGTGACCGAGATGTCCCTGCGGGGCTGTCCCGGGGCCCGGCCGGTCCCTGCTGCCTTGGGCTCGTCCCTGCTGCCCTGGGCTGGTCCCGCAGCTCTGGCCTAGCGGGGCACGCTGGGGACCCAGGGACCAGGGCGGTGCTGCAGGGTCCCTTCCAGGGGGAGCAGCGCGGGGAGCAGAGGGGTCCCTCCCTTTGCAGACACTTGCTGCCCGAGTGTGACATTGGGACTTGTGAGAACCTCTCTGTATCTGTGCCCAGAGCCTATCTGGGTGGGAGCTGGGTGCCCTCATTGGGGGAATCCTCTCTGTCCTGCCTGTGTTCCAGCCCCACTGCTGGGTGCACCCCTCGATCTGTCTGGGGACACTTCTAGGTGCGTGTGTCACCCCTTGTCTATGAACCATCCACAGCACATGAAACCTACAACTGCTTGATGTCACCCCCATGGGTGCTGCAGCGTGCTTAGGGAAATGGGTTGGGGATTTTTTAACCTGAAAAAAAGCTTGGGTATGGTTGGATAGTTCGGGTTAGTGCACTGACCTCCTGGTGGCCTCAGACTGTATTTCTTCTAGAGAAGAAATAAGTTACTTTGGAATGTCCTTGAGGTTGTACCTCACCAGTGTTCAGGTTACTGTTGGGGTTACTTTGGGATACAGGTAGTCTGAGAAAGGTGAGGGTTGCAGCTTCTCCCTGTTAGCCGTCACTTGACTTCAAGGACCTTCCTGTGGTCGGATTTTTTATTTCCCTGTCAGAGTTTCACATTTGGCCTTGCTGTTTTGCTGTCTTTAGAGGCAGCAACAGAATTGGGCACCTCTCCATAGGTCAGAGCACTGGTGGGGTTCAGGGATGTGCTAATGCTGGGAGTTCAGCACTAGGAAGCACGGAAAGTCTTAAATCTTTCAGCACCGCAGATGCTGGTGGACATGAAATTCTATTAATAATGATTAAAAAAACTTCTGTTAAATACATCAGCTGCAGGCCGAGTCATAATTGATGGAGCCCTCTGTAACCCTCACACTTTTGTGTCCTTCCCGAAGACTCGTGAGAGGGAGAAGTTGAAATTAAAAGATGTTGTAAGCCAGCTCAGGGGTACGGATGTGCCTCCCTGAGACAAAACCAGTGCAGTATTGTTGCTTTTATAGAATCATGGAGTGGTTTGGGTTGGAAGGGACCTTAAAGACTCTGATTCCAGCCGTGCCCGGGCAGGGACCCTTTCACAGGCCTGGGAAGTCCCTCTGTGTGGGAAGTACCGAGTCTTGCACCCTCGGTGACATGAGGAAGGGCAGCAGTTATGTTTTCCACCCATTTTGTGCATCTGCAGACTCAGTGGCTGCTGAACAGGAGTTTGTGCTGCAGGGATTGGGAGCGCGGCGTTGCGACACTTTTCGTTCCGATTTGTCCCTTGCTGACCTTGAGTGGGCTTTGCCATAGAAACCAGCTCGTGGGTGAGTCCCAGGCTGAGTTAGAAACAAACCAGAGCCACCATCTCCCCACGAGAGCACAGTCCAGGAGTGATCTGGATGCCCCTCGTGTCCAGAGCGTTATCCCAGCGCTGGGGCAGAGCTCACCACACACAAAGTCCTGGGCACTTTGGGGGCTTTATTTCTTTTTAAAGAACGTGAAGTTTGAGTGACAGAGCGTGACCTGAGCTTGCAGGAGCTGCCTGACGCTGAGCTTGGCTCAAGCTGCAGTTGTCACTGTTGTTATCCCTGGGTGTGCTGGTGGTGGTGGGACCAGACTTTCTGGGATTTACCTCCCAAAGCCTTGATTTCTGCACCATTTAAAGCCTGGAGGAGTGGGTACAGCCGCTCCCTTGTAGCCCACCTGACATGAGGTGAAGCCTTGCTGTGCCTTCTGAGTGAGGATAAACTTCCAGGGGTGAACTCAGTGTAAACTTCTCCCTAAACTGTATATTTTCTACTGGTCATAAAAAGAACTGTGATTTTTTTGTCTTGTCTAGTAATGAGATCAAAAAGTAAATGTCCCAGATTCCATTAATTTACAGAAATAAAACCTTTCTGATGGCTCATGCCAGTATAAAATTGGTTTCCCTATGACTAATGTGACACACCACACAGAAATGGTATATTTTTGTGAGTTACAACTCAGAAGGTATTTGCAGACAGTGATTCATGACAAGGAATACAACCCTTCTGATCAGTCCCCACCCAGTTTCTCAGCGTGCTTTGAATATATCTCATTCTTCAGGGCTGGTCTAGGAAAAGTTGATTTCATTCACCAATGTTAGATAATCACGGTGTGTAGGTGGAGGGGTTAAAACTTCAGTTATTGCCTCATGTGCATAAAGTTGCAGCTACAAATCCCTTTCCTGGGTTTATTTTTTTATATTTTTGTGGTGATAGAAGAACAAAGGTTGGTAGGATTAATGTTTTTCAAAAATTCAGGTTTTCTTTGACAGATTGTAATAAAGAAGATTTCAGCAAGTGTTAAGACTTGGCTTTAATCCTTCTAGATATTTTCTCTCAGTGGGTTTTCTGGACTCAAAATGTTTAATAACTTTAGATGCAAGGTTTTGGGCTTGCCTCTGTTTGGTTTGATGATAATACTGAGCCCTCGGTCATTCAGCTGAGCAAAATACGTTGCTCATGAGTCAGTCACAAACCAGGAAAGGGATTGAATAGCGATTGTGTTTGCATGTGCTGTGGATAAAGTTCCTGCTGTCCTCATGCAGAATGGGACACCAGGAAAAAACGCTGCCAAGAGCTCCTTCTGAGGCTCTAGCAGCCACAACCGGCCCTGTCCGGTGGCTCCGCTCTGCCCTCGCTCCTTTGTACCGTTTCTACAACAAATGCACAGGAAACAGCCCCAAAGTGACACGCTGTGAAAACCCGGGAAGGCAAAATGCAGCTATTTTCCCAGCCTGTCTTCTGGTGTGTTACTTTTTTCAACAACACTCTGGCTGAAATGGGATCTGTAGTAAGAAATTTGTGTATTTGAGTGTTTATTCTCACTGTGCAAGGATAAATATTTGTGAGATCAGGGCCTTAGTTACCGCAGATTAACATTTATTTAAATACTTTAGGTATTTATAAACACGGGATTAAAAAAGGCATGTAGCAGTGGCTTCTGGGTAATAAGCAAATGACTGCTCAGAACAGAACCACCCTGGTGACATTTACTTCCTTTTGTATTTTTGCAACTCTGTGTAATAAAAAGACATGTTGGTTCTTTTTTGAGGATGGGGGGCAGATCAGGCTTCACTGTGGAGGGAGCGCTTGGTAGAAGGTGATCGGATTCAGGCCTAATTCTCATTTATATGACATTTCTTTTTCCATCTGAAGGTTTGCAGGATATTTTTTTCCCTGCCTGGGAGGCAGGAGGAGGAGAGGTCCCTTCCCAGAAGAACTTAAATGTGAACTTCCACATTATTTTCTTGAGCAAGCAGCGTGAGCTGCTAATCACATTCTCCATCCCGGCTCTTTCCCCACAGTAATGGGCCTGGGAAATAGTTCATCTAGATCCTGCCCTAATTCCTGAAATTGCAGGAAAGCTCTCTGGTGTTGGGTTGCTGCTGGAGCAGTGCTGGAGCTCAGCTACCTCAAGTATGCTTCTGCCAGGGGCTTTGGTGAAGGAATTCAGAGCACCAGGAGCTCGATGGATCTCTCACAGATGGGTCAGTGGTGACCTGCTCTGTTCCCTCAGTGCCTCCTCTGTCAGCCCCTCTCCCCGGCAGTACCCCAGACCCTTTTTGGGGAGAAGTGGTGCTTTAGGGGATGCTGTGGTGCCCAGAGAGGAAGGCGGGGCATGCCTGTGAGGCAGAGCAGTTGGCATTGAGGGCTGGAAATTCTGCCTGGGCGGCTGCTGCTGTGTCACTGCTTCAGGTGAGCTGTGCCCAGGTCCCTGCTCACCTGTTGGTGGGGTCTGGGTTCTCCTGCACTGCTGTTGGAAGCAGTGCCCATCCAGAACGGGTCACACACAGAGCCAGCCACTAAACACGGTTTGTTCTCACTGCTGCTGTAAATCAAACCTAAACCACCAGTTATTCCTTTGCTCCATACTGAAAGTGCTCCCTAAGAGCTGAGTGTTCTCTTGTGTTTGATCACAGAACCCAGAACAGTCTGGGTTGGAAGGGACCTCAAAGCTCATCTCATTCCTGCCATAGCTTCCACAGGCCAGGCTGCTCCAAGGCCTGTCCACCTGGCCTTGGAGATGCAGCCTGCAAACCCTCTACTCAGAAGGGCTTGTTTTATGTGAATGGTGACAAATTTATTTGAACAGCTCCTTTGTGAAGCAAAGCCACACGTAGATTTGAGATTGAAATCCCCTAATTGTGAAGTAGAAGGCATAAAAGGAAGTGTCCTAACATGATAAATATGGGATTTGCTGCCCCATGATCTCATGGATACATCAGTTAAGGAACTGATCAGACAGTTTAGGGAAGTGAAATCTGTGAAGGACAGTTGAATGATAGTGTTTGTTCCCACATGATTTTAAGGTACAGTGGGGTGCTGCAGCATGGAAAAGCAGGGAGAACTCTAACTCTGTGCTGGCCTTGTCCCCATGCCCTTTTCTGCTGCATCTGATGCCTGGCCATGGTGGAGAGAGTACGTGGGGTATCTGGAGGCTGGGTGATCCAGCGTAGCTGGTCCAAAGTGCTGTGACTTTTCTTCATTCACTGGTGTTCCCAACCATGTTCCAGAA